ACATATTGAGGAAATCAACCAACTGCGGTGGTGTTTCGTTCTCTGAGCTGAATGTTTTAGTTGTGAAGCTTTCATTGTTCTACTCAAAAACATCATCAGCACAAACTTCAGATAGAAGTGAAGTATACGAATATATCCACGTGGTGAATTTTATGTCATTGAAGACCATGTAAAAGAAATCAACAGCACTCTATCATACCTGGATGTACTAATCATCGACAATTATGGACATACATTTGATTGGAATAATGTGGAAATACTGGATAGAGGGCGTACAAAGAACACTAAAGAATTTTTAGAAGCTTGGCACTCAGGTCAATCAGCAATCAACAAACACATCGACATTGACCCAATTTATCAACCAATCAGAAATATCATAGGTGACATATGATCAAGAAACAGATCAAAACAAAGGTCAATAACAACGAATCAAGATCGAGGTAAACAGAACAAGCCACAGGTCAAACGTGGAGAAATTCGAATACTTCACTTCTTCTATCTGAAGTTTGTGCTGATGATGTTGTTCAGAAGAACAATGAAAGCTTCACAACCATAAAGCTGAGCTACAAATCTTCTCCACCATCTCAAAATCAATCAACTGCGTCACAACACAAGCTATCACTTAGAATCCTCAAAACCAAAGAGCAAGAGGAAGAGTAAGCAACACATTACGCCAAGAAATGGACACAGAAATGAGCAGAATGAACAACAATTGAACAGAAATATAAAGGAAGACCCATGACAGAGTAGGTTGGAAAGCGCTAGACAGCGCGGTCTATTCTCCTCTAGGGGTGACAGTCCTAAGTAAGTAAGTAAGTAATTCAATAATTTTCTCCACTTCATTTTCAAATTACGTATACATATGTAAAAAAAAAATCCCAACATCGAATTAGAAATTACATTTTTTTTCCTGACTTATAAAAATATAACATTGCCAAGTTTCGAAATAAACACAATCTACTCATCACAATTACACATACTTATCAATTTATCAGTAGTATAACTAAAATGAACTAAAAATAAACTATTCAACATTACATTTATGAGGTAGTTTTAAAAAATGAAAAATCGTACATATATCCGAAAAAAGTATTTATAGAGATAGATAAATTGAGACATGATAATCACTATGGTAACAAAAGGAGTATAGTTTGTGTGTGTCTGACGAGAATATGATTATTATCGTTAGATGGTGTTAACTACAACAAGCACTACATACAACAACAAGAAATCATCGTCATCATCATCGTCAACATCGTCATTGTGCTAACAGATGATGATAAAAATTAGGAGAATTTTTGTTGCGCAACCAATGTTTTTTTATCTCTGGCTCTCGATTAGTTCCAATTGAAAAAAAAAGTTACTTGATGTGAATGATTTGGGGAGAAGTTGATTATTTTCATCGGTGAAATTCACAGACTATTATATTTATGAGAAATTTAAAAGTTCTAGACATTCTGTTCATTTTGTCTTAGTATGAGACAAAACAATGGATGTATCTGCGCCATTGAAAAGAATATTAAGCCGAGTTCTTCAGAGTGTCTAACCATCAGTTACTATCTTGTTGCGGACCTCAACCTGCTTTTGCCAACCTGCGTCACTTATGGCGTAGGCGAGATATCCGTTTGCTGACTAAAGGACGAGTGTACTGTGCAGTGGTTCGCTCCGTCTTACTTTTTGGCTGTGAAACATCACCAATGAGAGTAGAAGATATTCGTAGGTTACTGGTTTTCGATCATAGGTGTCTTCGAAGCATTGCTCGTATATCGAGGGACACCCCGAGTGAGCAACGCTGTTATTAGAACATGGGTGCTAGGTAAGAATGGCAGATCAATAGATGAAGTAATGAAACTTCATCAGTTGAGGTGGTTGTTACATGTGGTGCGTATGCCCAACCACCGACTGCCTCGACGAGCTTTGTTTTGTAGTGTAGGAATAGGTTGCAAGAAATCTAGGGTGGCCAGACCAAAACATGGCAGAAATCCATAAAGTCATTGACGAGTGGACTGAGTCATGTCGGTAATTGTCGACTACGTGGTTGGGGTCCGCGAGATGATAATAATCGATGGTTAAATACCCTGAATGACATAGCTCAAAATCATTTGCAATGGCGCCGGTGCATTTATTCTTTGTGTTCTCTCAAATCCTAAACTTCTGGATTCTTCAACCCCTCTAGTTTTGACTTTCTAAACTTTTCTCATTGAATCATACTTCTTGAATATCTTCTAATCCTAACCTCTCCGATCACTGTTAATGCATTTACTACCTCTTCTACTATTGGATTTGAATTGACAATTATATCTCTGCACTGATGTGGTATGGCAACATGAACTGATGTACTTACGTACAAAGTTCTACGTTGCATCTGACTGGACCTCAACCTGATAGTCTACATCTACCAACATGATTCACTGCACTTGTTAGTGACTTCATGGATTTGTGCCATGTTTTGGTTTGGTCACCACTAGCTTTCTGCCAACTTACCGCAATACCACGTAAAATTACTGGTGGAGACAATCGGTTGCTGGACATACGTAATACACGTCCCAATCACCTCAACTGATCAAGTTTTAACACTTCATCTAGTCTGATCTGCCATTCTTACCTAGCACCCGTTTCCTTACAACAGTATTGCTAACTCAGTTGTCCCAGGATACACTAGCAATGCTTGGGAGACACTTATGATCGAAAACAAGTAACCTACGAATATCTTCAACTCTAACTGTCCATGTTTCACAGCCACAAAGTAGGACGGAGCGAACTGCAGCGCAGTTGATGTTGATTATTTTCATCGTTGAAATTTAGAAGCACTAAACATTCTCTTCATTTTGCCTTATTATGAGACAAATAGGGGATGTATCTGCGCCGCCGCAAACGATTTTTGGCCATGTTATTCAAAGTGTCTAAGCATCGGTGACTATAGTCTCGAGAAGATCAACCTGGTATAGCATACAATTACCTACATGGATCAGTTCACTTGTCAGTGAATTCATGGATTTGTGCCATGTTTCGGTTTGGCCAGTCCCAGCGTCCTTCCAACCTACTCCTACACTGCAAAACATCGTTTGATGAGGCAGTAGGTGGTTGAGTGTATATAATACATGTCCCAATCACCTCAATTGATCTACCATCTTTACATAGTACCCGTTATACATAATCACTTGGATAGTGATAAGATTTAAAGTAACAAGTCAAAGACTCTAAAGAAAGAGTGATCTTGTGCTGTTCATACTACTAACATAGAATGTTTCTTCTACATAATCAACATGATCGATCGAGTAGACTAGTACTGTAAAGTACTGTAAAGTTCACACTAGACTAGAAGAAACACAGTTTACGAATAAAATGTAGTACACTTTTATCAATCAAACTTCTTATTTGCAAAACATACAAATTATTGTCTGTCTCTTTGCACATTTTGATTGTGGCATCAATTCGGATCCGAAAAACTCATCTATTCAGTAGTTACTTCTGGGGGCGACACTACGTTGCATACTGACTGAATGATAAGCTACGTTGTGAGTAATATCCATCACACTACTAGTAGTACAAAAACAATCTCGTTTTTTTCAGATTTATTGGTAAGAAGTATCCTCGTACAAGAGACCGGGAAATATCAGAAAATTGTCCGCATATTTCCAACCAAATGATAGTGACATTAACAATTTAAAACCAATAGGTCATATATCCAATTCTACTATGCTTATTTTAGCGCGCCCAGATTGGATCATAGCTTTGTCTTGCTGCAAGTTGCTGATGCGGTAGTATTCAATAGTGATCGCATCGAGTGTCAGTGTTGGGTCTTGTTCAAGGCGGTTAAGAAACCGAGTTCTGATGTCTGAGAATTTGGGTGATTGAAGACTGCATATGTATATGAGGGATCTGAGTTTGAACCGTTCTCACTTACGGTTGACAATGCCAACATGGGTCAAGAAGTCGTCGGACTCATTCATGACCAGTTTTAAGCAGCAGTAACGAGTATTGGAAAGAGCGTGCTAATCACCAAAACGTTTTCTGAGAGACTAAACAGTAGCATCTAATGAATGGTCGCGTGGGTTCTGCGGTAGGATGCAGTTGCAATACTGGTCCAGTTCTGACGGACCAAGTTTTCTAAGGAGAAGACGCACCATCCAGGAATCACCTCTATCAGAAAAATCAACTTTGAAGATATCTTCATAACTCCTGAACCAAGTATCAAATGTAATACTGGCGTCAGGATCATAAAGAAACTTTGAAATACCACTGGTCATACCATCGACCGACTGAGGAATAGTCGGTGTAGATGAGACTTGAGAAGAGATGTGCGTCTGAGTAAGCATCTCCATCAATTTCAACTGTTGTGCAAACGATTTTCCTCATTTGGCTGCAACCATAATAATTCATCAGACCGTTTGTTCCATCCTCGTCGCCAACTGTCACGCTCGTCTCTAGGTATGCTTAAACTATTACGAGTTCACCGTAGTCGAATGACGAGAACAAAACAATCAACTGGCGTCCAGGTAGGCTACTCTGATACGATTGTCCAAATTGTACCAGCAAGAAGTCTTGATATAGCGTAGAAAGTATATTCTACACACACCCAGCCATGACACAATGAATCCAAGCACACAAATTGCGTTTGTTTATGCTCAATAGAGACGCCCTTCGGAGAGTCACAAAAATAGCACACTAAACTAACACAGTAACCAATCACAGCCAACGATTTTCGTGGGTGTGAAATGTGGTCTCAAGGTCAACTGATCGGCCCATGAAATAAATCCAAAATAAAGACATTTATCAAGTGAGTTCTGGGGATCTAACATCCCCAACAAAGAGTAGCAGTTTCCTCAGAATCTGTCTACATGTATTTAGTTCGGTGTTAAGAAATATATAACACAACATCCACCTGTTATTTCTTGTTTCAACTTAATCAAACCAAAAAGCATACAACTAAAATATTGCACAAAAATCAGAACAAACTATAATCAAACCAAAAAAAAATAAATTTTACTTTTACTTACTAGAAATTGTACTATTTTCAACATCCAAACCAATACAAACATCACGAAGTACAATACCAATTGTACGAAATGTAGATTTTGTTGATTTCTCGGCTAATTTTAAACTATCAATATTTGGTGGTAGTAATGTACTACTACTACCACTACTACTAATAATACTACTACTACTGACTGGAGTCAACAAACAGCTGGTTGAAGATGATGATTTTATAGTTGACATTTTAATTAAATTAATACTTAGATAAGTTAATCGATCTCGGTCATTTTTCTCTCCTGTTACACTACTACTATTTGATAGTGAGCAGCAAGAGCTGGACGAGCGTAAAGACGAGGAGGCGGAGAAGGAGGAGGAGTAGGCAGAGGAACAGGATAATGAGTCGAAATTATCAACTGTGGAATGATTCAAACGTAGGGTACACAAATCTGGACGAAGTTGTGCGCAAAGACCTATGTGCAATACAAAAAAAAACCAATTACGAAATTTGTAATATTTAAAACACCAAATATATATATATATATATATGAGGTTGAGCAACTCCGTGAATATGATCAAGTTAGACATTAACACCGCTAGATACCGTCTCGGTGGTCTATCGGTTAGGGCGTTCGCGCACAATACTGAAGGTCCCGGGTTCGAGTCCCGCGGGGTGAGGGAGTCGTGGGTGCGCACTGCTGGGGAGTCCCATGCCAGGACGAAACGGCCGTGTTTCAGTGCTTCCAGGTTTCTAATAGTGGTCTAACATTGACCGATTCATGGTTTCAAAAATGTGTAACTTATCAATCTTCACAACCCCGTAATGCATAAATACATACGAACCGAAGATCGAATTGATTTGTAATGGTTGTTTGAATAAGCCCATTGATGTTTAGGACGGCAATTGATCGGTCCCTTTGGTTTATTCGCATCCTGTGAAGATTGTCTTGATATTGTCTTTAGGTTACTGGTATTAATAACGGAGGTGGATGATGGCTAGCAGTAGAATCTATCATGTGCATTACATCCTAATCAGCACTTGTCAGTTGTGATGTACCTGCCACATCCTAGAGTGGATGTTCACTCCAGGACTCGAAATCAGTATCTTTCGTCTTAATTGTCATCATGAATGGTACTGGGTTCAAGTCTATTTTCCTATGAATCAGAACATCAAGGAAGGTTATAATCATATCGTTTTCCTCTTCACTGATGAATTGAATAGTTAGGTGCCAGTTATGAAAACTTGTTCAACATTTCTTATTTATGGATACTTCCCATACAAACGATTAGTGTATCATCTATATAGGTAAAGACAGTAATAATTTAGCTTATTCAGGATGTAATTCACTTTCTTTAATGTTCTACGTTTCTAAATGAAGAGTTAGGACTGTTGATTGTATGCGAAATGCAGAAAAGTTGTGAACTTATTATTAGCAAAAGGTAGGCAACATAGCATATCTTCAACAGCAGGTTGCAATTAATCTGCAGACCTCGACTGACAGTGAATAAATCCAGAAACTGGAGCTTTACTAGGGTTCCTGCTGGTCCCAAGTCCGTATAAAAGAGGAGGTTTCGACATAGCGTTTGCGACCCCAGAAGAATAATTCTCTAGTCGGCGGTCTATTTGGTATAACAGGCATACGTGAGTAAGTAGTAATTACATATAATGTGTTGATTCAACAACACAACTTTCTTGAGACCAACTCCAGTTTCAGTAAACATTGTGAATTGACGTAAGAAGTGCTCAAATATACGTAAAATTCGCTCAAACCATGTCATTTGAGAAAGATTCACTACTTAGACAATCAATTTATAGTCATTACCTAAGAATATCTAATTCAGTTGCTCTACAATATGCGAGAAATGCTCTGAAGCAATCTTTGTTAGAGAACTCAAAGTCTACACAACCTATCTCTTCTACTTTTACACAGTGTAATTTAACTATCACATTAGAAGAAGATTTCCACCCCACAATCATACATACTGTTAGTCCCACGAATAATCTCATATTCGCACAAAACAACCAAGCAGTATTTCCCTGGTCTTTGTAATCATTTCTAAATTTGAAAAAATGAATCTTTCAAAACGTCATCGAATACTGATAAGCTCAAACAGCAACACTACCATTCGTTAATGTACAAAACATTTATTTTGAAATTCATGCATTTTACATATTATACAGGGTAAATTTAATTATAACGACTCAACAAGCATGTGAACCAATCAGACGTGGCTAAATGACAAGGTCATTCGATGGCCAATAGAAAATATCCTTAAAGACGAATGCATATCATTGGTCAAGAAATGGATTTATTTTCTAAGGGCGAAGGACGCACACACACGTATACACACACACATAAACAACTTACTTACTTAATTCAAAACAATGATATTCACCATTCAACACTGTACGTAACATGAGTACCCCACTGGAATTTGATTGGTCAGTAGTTTTCTCCGATTTATTCCATGTACAAAGTATACGTAATTGGTCTAATTCATTGCAAAAATTATTAAATACTAAATGATTTTTATAATTAATTATTAATTCAATATTGTTGGGGATGTTAGATCCCCAAAATTCACTTGATAATGCCGTATTTCGGTTTTTCACGTTCGCCAGCAGGGGCTGATCAAATGACCTTGAGATTTCAACTCCCACCAGGAAAATCAATGGCTGTGATTGGCCACAGTGTATTTTAGTATGCTATTTTCTTAACTGTCTCAAGGACGTTGTTATGTTGTATAAATAAACGAGAGTTGTATGCTTGATTGTACTGGATTGCTGGGTGCTTGTAGAATATACTTTCTACGCTTACCAAGACTTCTGTTTTACCGTTGGATTCAAGGTAGCCTTCCTGGAAGCTGGTAAAAGTATCGTTCGCGTTTATCGACTAAGGTAAACTCGTAATAGCCTCCAGCATACTAAGTGCCGAACATATCAGTGGCGACGGGGTAAAAACCATATCCACAAAACATATCAGTGGCGACGGGGCTCACAATTCACAATGTCAATTAACCTTGAACAGTTAGAATCTTTACTGGAACGTCAAGGTAAACGATATGAACAGTTGCAGGAACGTATGTTGGAGCTGTTAAGGAAACAAATGAATTTGAACCCACGAGATTGTTCGTTTTCTGAGACTGTTCAGACTTTAAGCCAACACTTTGGAGACAACTCGTCACTATTTAATACTCGTTATCGATGTTTGAAGCTTATTATGAACGAAGATGATGATTTTCTTACGCACGTGGGCATCGTCAACCGTGAATGCGAACGCTTTCGGTTGAAGTCTTTGTCGGAAGACCAGTTCAAAGCCCTCATTCTCATCTGCAGCCTCCAGTCGAGTAAGTTCAGTGACATTAGAACAAGGCTACTAAGTCGGTTGGAGCAAGATCCAAAGCTTACGCTTAATGATATGGCTCATGAGTACCAACGTCTCACTGACCTACAACGAGACTCGACTATAGTTCAGAGTGGTAGTTCAAGCCGATCTGAAATTCATTTGGTACAGCAGCCACCTAATCATTATAAGTCTGCCCATGCTACACCCAGTTCACCCCGCTCCAATTCGGCCCAAAAACCCAAAATGAATCCACCTTCTGCTTGCTGGCACTGCGGTTCATGGCACTATGTACGGAACTGCCCATTTAGGCAGCATAGATGCAGGAAGTGTAAAGTCATCGGTCATAAAGATGGCTTTTGCCTACAGAAAAAGCCAAAGCGATCCAGAAGTGCTAAGAAGCCTGTTCCTAGATCCAGTACCAATGCATTGAGCCTAATATCTTCCTGCCAAAGTTCATCACCAGGTGAGAGGAGATTTATTACTCTTAATATTAACGGTTATTTGTGTAGAATGCAAATAGATACTGCATCTGATGTCACTATCCTCTCACGCAAAAATTGGACCAAGTTGGGCAGCCCAAGCCTGCAGCACACAACACAAAAGCCTCGCACAGCATGTGGTAATTATCTTCGTCTGTTAGGACAATTGGAATGTAAAGTTGCTTTCCGGGATTCGTCGTTTACTGGGGTATGCTATATAACGCCAGCTGATCTAAATTTACTTGGTTTAGATTGGTTCGACCAGCTAAAATTGGCTGATGTCCCGCTAAATACCATATGCAGCCTGGTATCACAACGACATGACCCAGAAGCGCATACGAAGAACCACGCAGAATGTTATCTGACAACCGCAGTTCGCGCATTACCGGTGTCTGCAACAGACATACAAAATGCTTCTAGAAACGACCCCATCATCAAGATGACGATGAAATATGTCACTAAAGGTTGGCCGTCGAAAAAGTTTGAAGGTGACATCAAGCAACTGTATCAGCGGCGGGATTCACTATGCATCGTGAACGATTGTCTTATGTTTGGTGAAAGAGTAGTGGTGCCAGCATCCCTTCGTGCAAAAGTGCTGAGACAGTTCCATCTTGGTCATCCTGGGATTAAACGAATGAAGTCCATAGCCAGGAGTTATGCATACTGGCCTCACATGGATCAACATGTCACAGCGTTGGTTGAAAAATGCATCCGGTGTCAGCAGGCGGCAAAGATGAATGCCAAAATTCCGCCGGTTTCATGGCCCAAACCTGAGCATCCTTGGTCCAGGATACATGTCGACTTCGCTGGCCCAATAAATGGAACTATGTATTTAATTGTCGTCGACGCCTTTTCTAAATGGCCGGAAATCAGCCCCGTTATGCCGCCCACTACAACTAAGACTATACAGCTCCTGACTGAAATTTTCTCACGAAATGGCATACCAGATGTGATCGTATCCGACAATGGCTCTCAATTCACCTCTTCCCAATTCCAGAATTTCTGTCAACGGCTAGCCATTAAACACTTACGCTCGCCACCATACCACCCGCAATCGAATGGGCAGGCGGAAAGGTTTGTGGATACGTTTAAAAGAGCACTGCTTAAGTCAAAAGGGGAGGGGACGCCAGCCGAAGCATTACAAAATTTCTTGTACGTCTATCGGACAACACCAAATGAATTGTTACCGGAGCAAAAGTCCCCAGCTGAAATCCTGATGGGAAGAAGATTGAAAACGATCCACAGCCTGATGCATCCGACTAATGCACCCTCATCAGTAAAGACAAAGCAGCAAAGACAATCCGCTTACGAAGTAGGATGCCCTGTGTTTGCCCGCGACTACAGAACGAACCATGGTCCTTGGGTAGAAGCGAGAGTGGTCAGAAGGGTTGGTCGAGTTATGTACGAAGTAGAGGTAGGAGGTGATAAATGGTCACGTCATCGCAATCAGATACGCAGACGGCTAGCCCCAGATCGTCCATCAAGAGCAGAAAGCCTTCCCCTTGACATCTTGCTTGATACCTTCAACCTACCGAGAGCCCCGCCACGAGAAGAAACTCAGCAGCAAACTGTTCTTCGTTCCCGAAGGTATCCCCTCAGACAGCGGCGAACAATAGTCAAGATGCAAGTCAACCACAGGAGAAAACGCTATTAAAAAGGGGAGGAGTGTTGGGGATGTTAGATCCCCAAAATTCACTTGATAATGCCGTATTTCGGTTTTTCACGTTCGCCAGCAGGGGCTGATCAAATGACCTTGAGATTTCAACTCCCACCAGGAAAATCAATGGCTGTGATTGGCCACAGTGTATTTTAGTATGCTATTTTCTTAACTGTCTCAAGGACGTTGTTATGTTGTATAAATAAACGAGAGTTGTATGCTTGATTGTACTGGATTGCTGGGTGTTTGTAGAATATACTTTCTACGCTTACCAAGACTTCTGTTTTACCGTTGGATTCAAGGTAGCCTTCCTGGAAGCTGGTAAAAGTATCGTTCGCGTTTATCGACTAAGGTAAACTCGTAATAGCATCAAGCATT